ATGCATGACAGCTCGAGAATTAAATTGTTATCCCAACCAGTTGATATCAATTTAATTCCTAAGAGTTATGTACTTGTTTTGAGTATCTAATGTAGAAGTTGTAACCAAGTTCACTTTACGAAACGGTCTTAATGAATGATATACTGAACGTATGTCCTCTTGATATAGGTAACTCTTTGTAACTGATTGAATATATACCTTTGTATTCTGATAACCCTCTCGATAAGATCTGTTAGTTTATATGCATATTCTATGTATTAATAAATGTATCCTCGTGTATTAGTACCTGTGTGTGCGCGTTGTTTGAGTTACACAAGGTCTTCTTTCATACAGATTTATACTGAATTGATGAGACATAGATGTGCTTATTGCACTGGAAATAAAACACCTTGAAAAAGGGTACAACAGCATCTGGGATTTAAATCTGACAGGCTACCGTTATGAGTCAGGAGCCCTAATCACTACTCCAGACTGATGGATGAGCCCGGGCCGTGAAAATTACTCTCAGAGCAGACTCACGCCGGGCTGCAGGGCGGGTAAGCCTCAGGACTCCCCAGGCCACAATGCACTCCTCTCGCTCAGCCAGGCTCCCTGACACCCCTTCTTCCTCCTTCTTCGGGCCCCTGGGGGCCTCTCCTGTCAGGGAGCTCCCACTGGGCCAGTGGTAGAAACGCACAAACAGAACCATGTCCGCCTCAGGCCGCAGGCTGGAGAAGAGAATCTGAAGATGAAAGAAGAGAGTCCTAGATGCTCGCTGGCTCAGCTGCAGTACTGTAAGTCTTGGCGTTTTTATTTTCGCTTTGAAGTTTTAATTTCTGAAACACTCTGGTTTCACCCTTGTCTATGCCTTTCTTGTTCTTAAATGCTGATCGTCTATGGAGTACATTTCTCTGCCAGCGCTGTAGAATTTATTAAACTCTAGAATGCATAGAAAAAGTTTCTATCTCCCGGCGTGAGTAAATGTTCAAATCGGCATTGATGTACAGAGTTGCACAAAAGAGGATTACAAATAAAGGACATGCTTTGATATTAAGGCAATCTACCAGGCTGAAAGGTTGTGTTTACTCTCTCCTGTGGTGAGACAGTGGTGCCACATGTACCTCCTGTTCTCCGAAGATGAAGTCCCCATGTTTGATGGAAGAGCTGACAGTGGAGGTGAAACACAGTATACCTCTGCTCCTGCATACAATCACCTAGGCAACAGGACAGCAAACAGGACACCTTCAGAACAGTTACAAACTGCAGAAGCTGTTTAGCTCGTCTCACTCTGTCCTCAAAGCATTCCAGCCCTGTGAATTTTCATCAGCATCAGACACTCATGGCCAAGGCGTACTACATTTTTCTCCTTTGTGCTTTGTCACAGTTCTGCCCTCAGTACATCAGCCACTGTCATAGCAGAGTAATGACTGAGGGACCTCATTAACCTGCACTGACAGCAGTGTGGATTACTGGTTAGGGCTCCAGACATATAATGGGAAAGGTTGTGGGATCAAATGCCAGGTGAGACAGTGCTGTCATGCCCTAAAGATTACTTTATTAAGTAATTACTTCATTAATATTACTTCATTAAGATGGATAAACATAAGACACTTTGGATAAAAGTGTCAACTGAATAAGCAAATAATACCAACAGAATCAAGGGGCATGAGCACTAGATTCCCATTCTTTCATGAACTCCATTGCAATATATACTGTAGATACAGAATAATCAGCTACAGGAAAACCCCGCAAAACCTGTTTTTCTAGATGTGGTTCATCATTATTCAACAATTCAACAAAACACTCCTCAACAAAACAAGGATCTTGATGTACTTTTCATTCAGGTCTTAATACATTTTAAGAATTTGGAGAACTTAGGGATCATCATGCTCCAGAGCTACTTATTTTTATGTTAATATACAGCATGAACTTTTAGAATCACATCATCAGGTGTGGATGAGCTACGACTGCCCAAAGCAGCTAAAGAGAAGTTGCAAACACCTTAAGTGTGTGTTTGAACGAATGGACTGTTAAGGGAGCAATACTCAACTCCTCCTCACTCACCTTGCCGGTTCTCTGGCTATACCCTGTCAGTCGCAGGCTGCCGAACCCCAGAGGAGCCCCTTTCACTCTGTCCACGATGAAGCCCACCCCACCTGAGGGTCCGGGACCTGCTGGCGTCTCTGCCACACTGCAAACCAACAAACACACCGTCAGTCCTGGCAAAGAGCCGACTAGACCAGCAGTTCCCTGCCTGGCCCTGCAGGAACACTGCCAGTGCCAGATTTCCCATTAGGCACTGTGGGGATGGTGCCTTGGGCCTACAAACTTTTTAGGGCCTGTGAAGGAGGGAAACACTAGTGACTAATGAAAAACACGAAAAATGAGCTAAAACAACATTCTTGTGATCGACTCTAGGTGCTCCAAATCAATAATCATACGCTGTCTGGCGGCTGTTCTAGAAACTGGAAGTATCGAAGATGGTCACTCGACTCGCTCCATCAACCACGTGGGTTAGCATCAGAAGAGTTTATAGTGCATCATGTCAATCAACTTAATTCAATTGGTGTTTACCCCTCTTTTTCAGAGTGAAAGTACCTAGGGCCTACGAACACCAAAATTCGGCCCTGAACACTGCATCTGCTGGCCTGGATTCCAGCTGAGCTCTAAATCTCCACTGCTGCCTGATGACCTGACTGATCTGCTGGCTTGCACTGACCCTGATTTAACTCGTTTCTTTGATCAGTCCTGATTGTCATAAATACCCTGATTCAAAAATATAGTTTCCAACAGCTTCAGCACACAAAAACAAGCTTGCTGTTATTTCAAACTAAACAGCTCGACACTAGTTGATCAACTGATGATGAGCAGACACAGATGAGAATGACATCTCGTCCACTTTGTTACATTTCAGAAGGCACACCTGAAAGAGGGCAATTCTGAAACTCAGAAACTGGTACAGAGCTGATCACAAATTACAAATCCCATCCGACCTTAAGAGCTGAAATCAAATTTACAATTTACAAATATGCCCCAAGGAGAAAACCGAAAGCTGAGCTTGTGATTAATAGCTCAGTTAGAGCAAAAACCAGAGGACAGTGTTCCTCCAGGAGAAGGGTTGGGAAACCACTGCACTGGACGACACAATGGTATGGAAAATTCTTACGTCCTGTGACAGAGCACTGAACCAAACTAATGTTAACATTGTACTGGAAACAATGTGTATTTTATTGCGCATTTCCAGTCCTCACAGCAGAAACAGAAATAGTGAATTTTTTACTCACATTTGATTGTACCAGTTAAAAATATGTTGTGTTATACAATAAGGGGGCCCCCTGGTGGCCTCAGGGTTTGCCTATTCCCAGGGCTGGCCCTGCTCGCACTGGTCTAACACTGTATACTTTAGGTCAACATCTGAATAAAGAGAGAATATTTGTGATCATTATTTCCTGCTGTGTGCTCCACATGACAATGAATTCTGAAAGACTGTGTGCACCGAAGGGACGGAGGAAGTACGCTGTGCTCTCTTTTCTATCCCCTGCATGACTCTGTAGAATGGCAGTGTAAGGGAGTTAATAAGCATTACCTGAAAGAAGCAGCTGTATTCAGGCAGCCATCTTACAGCCCATGGGAGCCTGTCTCATTGAGATGAATCAAAAGAGGAAAAGCGAGCACAGAACAGAGAGCACTGAGCAGAAAATCCCAGAGATCACTTACGCATGCCAAGACAGAAATGTAGACTGCGATCATTGCATGCAAAATTCAGTAGCCAGAGGTAGTAATGAAAGAGTCATACAAAAGCAACTTCAGGTCACTCTAAATAAACTGGGGTAAACCCTATCTTTTCCCAGTATCTAAGAGGTGAACAGATCAGAAAGAGCATCAATTACTGATGGTGTAGAATTCTGATCATGCTGACCAAGTGTACTGGAGGATTCACAAATAAGCTACAATTAAAATAATAATAATATAATAATAATAAACTTTATTTTATATTGCGCCTTTAAAGGTGGCTTCTCAAAGCGCTTTACAGGATGACAACAACAATAAATAAAAAGAATATACAAGATAAAACACAATTACAATATACAGAGGAGACATGGATGGTGGTACTAAGAAAAGCAGAGGGGTGAAGAATGGAACCAGTTAAGTAAAGGCTTTTCTGAAGAAGAGGGTTTGAGTCTGGATTTGAAGGAGTTTAGAGAAGGTGACTGATATCCTTGGGGAGAGAGTTCCAGAGCTTGGGGGCATAACAGGAGAAGGCCCTGTCACCCATACAATGTAGACGGGCTTGGGGGACAGTAAGGAGAGCAGAATTAGAAGAGCGAAGGTTGTGAGTTGGGGAGTAGGGCAATAATAGTTCAGACAGGTACTGAGGTGCCAAGCCACCTTATAGGTGAGCATGAGGATTTTAAAGGCTACACAGAATCTGACGGAAGCCAGTGCAAGGACTCCAGGATAGGAGTAATGTGAACACTTGCACTAGACCGGGTCAGGATTCTGGCTGCTGAAGTTTGGACTTACTGCAGTTTGTTCAGAGTAGATGTAGATGATACCCCAGCGAGTAGAGCATTACATTAGTCAATTCGAGAGAACACAAATGTGTTGATCAGCTTTTCAGCCACAGTTAATGATAGCATAGGGCGTAGTCTAGCAATAGTTCTAAGGTGAAAAAAAGATGTTTTCACAGTATGCTGTCATAGACATCTTCTCAAAGCTAATCAAAATGTCACACCAACCCAGAAACCTTTTAGCGAGGTTAAATAATAAAAAATGCCTCAAAATATTTTGAGATAATCAAATTCAAGATCAAGAAAAAATCACATTCAGATTTGTGGAAAAGATTGTTTTTTTCCCCCGTTATACTGCCATTGTGTATATAGGTAAGAGCTAAACAATCATCCTCAATACATCATTCCAAAACTGAATGACATCTGGTATTCCAGACATTCCAGAATCTCAAGGCTGAATAATTAAAACTCTCTAATGATCTACTGATCAGTTCACACAATCAGGTCTGAGGTGAGAGAGAGATTCAGATGTTCTCGACTGGGCAAACCTGCTAGAGCGCTGTCAGAATATTGATTATTAAAAAAGATTGCTCTTATTTCCAGACGTCTCACCTTAAGGATATATCCTTATGATCATGGAACTAAAATGACTATGAAAAAGTACTATATTCTTGATTCCACTTCATATATTTTAGGGAAGTATAACACAAATACGTTCTGCAAATGCTTTGTCTTTTATGACATTCTGGTCTAACTTTGTACCATGTGTCACTGAGGGAATGAGATTGATGCTGCTGTTTGGTCAGGTTTTCCCAGCCTAAAGTGATAAAAAGAGTCCTCACAAATGACAGCTTGCTGCAAAAATAGTGAATTTGTGCAGTGCTGAAATGATAGATAAGATGCATTACTATACTATTACAGTATACTATTTACTGTTTTTTTGTTCTCTATTTGTTACCATTTATATATTGTCCATTTACACCCTCCTTTGGGTGGTTTTGTTTCCCAGTTGAAAAGACTACACATCTGCTAAATATGAAATATGGTAAGCTTCTTTTTGTCTAACATCATGGTCACTGTGTTTTCCTCATTATTTCCTCAAGCACAGTTTACAGGTGAAGGGATCCTTCATCCCAGAGCCCCTTTAACTCGCATTGCATTTAGCAAATTCAGGATCTTGTATAGATACAATGACTGCTGATTGCTTTTTAAACAGAGGTGCATATGTTTGTGTAAAATAGCCACAACAAACACAAAATGCTATAAATGTTACATAGGATATTGGACCTGTGTTTGTACAGGTTTTGTGTAGGTTCTAGATGAGGACTTTTTATTGCAAAAGGTTCAAATCATCCAAGTGGATGCTGCACATTGGTGGCGGTGGACGGGAGTCCCCATTACCTGTGAAGCGCTTTGAGTGGAGTGTCCAGAAAAGCACTATATAAGTGTAAGCTATTATTATTATTATTATTAGATGATCAAACACCAGACATTTCCATCTATTCTAGTGCAGTTGTTAATGCAAACATTTAATTCTGTGCAGATATACCTAAATAAACTCTGGTTTAGATGGAATCCTGCAATAAAATGGATTCCAAGGTCCAGCATTTGATTACCTCTGGCTCTCTTTCTCACCTCTGACTGGACCCCTCCATGGGGGGAGGAGGGTCCACATGATCTGTGGGAGGAGGGAGGGAAAGGTAGTGATTGGCCGAAGGATGAAAGGAAGTGAGGACAGTGGGCGGGCTCTCCACATGGGCCACTGGGCGGATAGCCACCTGCAATGGAAACCAGTAACAATATTTTTTTGTTGTTTCTTTCTTTTAATTTGTGGTTGCATTTATTTTATATTTTTTAAATTGTCAGCTGTTCAAGAACAAGTTTATTGTTGCAGTTCCTATAGGAGTTAATGCGGATTGGATCATATATTTTATGACACACTGTAAGCCCTACACTTCCTAACAGGAGAGTTAGCATGGTCAGGAGAATCCATTAGCTGAAAGCTGCTCGTCCTGGTGAGGGTTCTGGAAGAACAGGGTGTGGATGGACAGGACAGGATGCCAGTCCATTGCAAGGACACAAAGAGACAATTCTGAATAGCATATCTAACCTAGGCAGATATCTTTGGAAGGTGGGAGGACCCCGAGCAAATCTATGTGGAAGTGGGAAAACACACAAACTCCACCCGTAAGGGTCCCTGGTCCAAAACAAATATCAGAACTCAAGAGCTGTAAAGCAGCTGCACTAACTGCCACCCTCTCCATCTATTTTCATAAAAAAAACAATTCAACAAAAATGAAGGCCAGATAAAAAGCACTTTGAGGAAATTCGTTAAAATAATGTGCCTTTCTCCAGATTGGTTTAAATGCTGTCAAGAAGAATTTTCCATTAAAAAGAAAGGAAAAAGTCAAGCAAAAATAAAACAGATATGACTGTGACTAACTTTTACATTACTTTTTAGCTGCTTTGCATGATCATGTTCCATATTATTTTAAGGAGGAACTGAGCTATGATGTTTGACAGCCAGTTTACAAATGTATTCATTCCAGCTGAATACCTAATGATTCATTGGACCAATTAACTGTGTAGTTAGCGGCACATTGCTGATTGCACTGCCTAAAGCTCTCTGTAAAACCCGCTCTGTAAACTCTGTAAAAATGTCTGTCCATGACCAAAGCCGCAGCCCCTGCAGTGGAAGGGAACACAAGTGGCTGGGTGTCTGACGTACCAGAGAAGGGTACTTGTACTGGCTGGCATAACCAGGGTCAATTCTGGCCAGGGCCTGCACATCTCCGTCTCGGGCATTGACCACTCTCAGGTACAGTTCCGCCCCACCTAGCTGGGAAGCGAGAGTCATGGAGTCAGGTGTGTAATAATAATAATAAGAAGACGACGATGAAACATTATTTTATATAGCACCTTTAAAGGTGGCTTAGATGCAAGATGACAGTACAGTAGGAGCAGAGGGGTAAAGAACAGAACCAGTTAAGGAAAGGCTCTTATAAAGAAGAAGATTTAGAGTCTAGATTTGAGGGAGTTTAGAGAAGATGACTCTCTGACATCCTTGGGGAGAGAGTTCCAGAGCTTTGCAGAATAACAGGAGAAGGCCCTTTTACCCATAGAGTGAAGACGGGCTTGGGGGACAGATAGGAGATCAAAATTAGAAGAGTGAAGGTTGAGAGGTGGGGAGTAGGACGATAATAGCTTAGACGAGTACTGAGGTGGCAAGCCATGCAGAGCCTTATAGGCGAGCATGAGGATTTTGAATTTGATATGAAACTTGACAGGAAGCCAGTGCAAGGACTCCAGGATAGGAGTAATGTGATCACTTGCACTAAACCTGGTCAGGATTCTGGCTGCTGAATAATGGACATACTGGAGTTTGATCAATGTGGATTTAGAAACCCCAGCGCGTAGAGCGTTACAGTAGTCGATATGGAAGACAAATGTGTTGATCAGCTTTTCAGCCACAGTTAGTGATAACATAGGGTGTAGTCTAGTGATATTTCTGAGGTGAAAGTACGATGTTTTAACAATATGCTGCATGCGTTGGTCGAATGTCAAGCCTTAATCAAGTAGTGATTACATCGTAGTGAGAGCAGCGGAGTGAGAACATCCCTTATATCAGTTAAATCTGCAGAACTGTGCAGTTTCTCCAACTTTCTTCCACACATTTGCCACATTTGCCTTACTTTCCAATTACTTCAGTCTTCTCCAGGGATGAACTTTATCATAACCTGAACTTCCATATGCTTTTACTATGTTTTAGTTTACTTTACAAAGATACCATCTTGACTAATCACAGTGAACACAGGGATCTTTCATTAATAAAATAAAAATGCCATGTCTGTTGTACAAATATCAAGCTCATGCGTAACAGTTTGCATGAGGCCCTGGCTGATATGATACAATGTTTGACTCAGGCAGTCCCAGGATTATATTCTCTGCCTGCTATATGGCCAGCAGCCATATCA